AAGAAAAAGGGAACTTGAAAAGGAAACTTGCTCTACATAACAGTAAGACAGAGGCAAATTTTATGCAGTCCATGTGAGATTATCTATTTGTAAGGAAATTCATATAACAAGCATTATTTTTTCTTTTAAAGTGTATCAAAGTATGATACTTCTACTATGCCATGGATTACTCTCAAATGCAGAAATGACTCCCAAAGTAGATATGAGGAAAAAACTACCTGGGGCCAAATACCACGTGAGCCATCTCAAGCTAGATCATTTCTGCTTAATGACTGTAGTCCCTTTCTGAAGCTTCCTATCTGAGAACATACTTTAGAGGTTTCACTAGCTTCCTCCTTGTTATTTCTTTCCTTAGGAGTCGTGTGCCAGTGCAATATATATCTGCACAGGGACATTTTGGCTAGAATGAATTCTACCACTGTATGTTTTCATGAGAAATATCATTGTGCATTAGAAGTACGAGTTTTACATACTAGATGAATTTTTATGCTGTCTGCTGAATGTTACTGACTTGTTTTGCATTAATCTGTATTTTTCTTATTTTTACAGCCTAAACTCAGCATGGCCAAATGCAGGAGAAATGTGGAAAACTTTCTGGATGCATGTAGGAAACTGGGGATACCAGAGGTAATTTAGTTAAGCCTGTCACTTCTAAATGATCAAAAATGCAAGGCATATAAGTTATTTTAAAGCTGAAAACTAATTTTATGAACTAGTACTTTTAACAGTAAAGATATGTAATATAAAAATGCATCTAAGTAATGTGAATTAGCACTTCTTTCTTGTATTTTACTGGTTGATCTCATAGCACTTTTAAATTGCAAATATTGTCTTAAGCTAATAATTCAGTATTATCCCCAGTACTTCCTTATATTTGCGATGGAAAATAACTAAGGAATATGATAATTAGGTAATATTATGTAATATATAATAATGTAATTAGGTGAAAGCTCACTCATTTTTTCCTTGTGTAACTATAACTACATTTCTGTCTAGTGATTTTAAAATATGGGCTTCATTTGCTTTAAGTATTGATTTTCTTTTTTACTACATTAAGTACTTCACAGTATGCTTTGTAAAAGGGACCAATAATACTCACGTCAGTACCAAGATGATTTTGCACACATGTGAAGGTGACCGTTTTCTGTGTGTTAGCTATGGGATGTACCTGATGAGTAAGATTCTTCTATAATATAAAAATAAGCGTTTCACAGTTTGGAAATAGGGAAACTGCAATGCGTGATGTTTTCGTCTGTTTTACATTTAAGAATGTCTGTGTTTATTACTGTCTAATTTATTCTCACGTTGTTAGGAAAATGTCTTTAGTTCTGGGGATACATCCTTAGAAATATTTCAAAGTCTCGCTTGCAGTCTAGAAGTATGTGTTCATAAAATATTAATTTCAAACGCTTGATCCTCAAAATAAGATAAAAGTGTTGTACTGGGGCCTTTTTAATCCTCAGACATGAAAACGGCCTGATATATTGTCACTATGTTGCTGTCTGCATATGATAGTATGATTAAGACTGGATACTTTTTAGTTCATCTTTCGGGAATGCTGAAACAAAAGGATAATCTGTGTGTTCCCCTCCTTTCCTGCTCCTGTTTGGGAGCAGGCTGTAGTGCACAGATTTCAACCTGGGAAAGAATTCCAGTTTGAATCCTTTATAATTTATCTATATTTTAGCACTTGATTTGGAGGACAGCAAAGATAACCATCTATTCCTGCAATTTGTAGGAAATTTAGGGGGAAGGAGGACTTTTTCTTACAAGTCTGATGAGTGGTTCATAATAAATGAAATTTGAGAATGCTTATCATTATGGACTGGGCCTCTTAAGTTTTAATGGTTGATTTAATTGTTGTAGTTATGTAGTTTATTGTGGTAGAATGGTTTCATATTATAGGTAAAATTTCACGTCAGAGAAGATCAAAAAGCCTGTCTCTGTGCTCTGGGGTCATAGACAAAGTAGATGTGGAGTGTGTGTTGAGCTGCCCAAAATTCGTTGTCTTCTGATGCATCATAAAGTTTATTCAGCAAACCAGAGTACGAATCAGGTTGTTCTGGATATAGCCTGTTGGGAAAGAAGAAGCAAAGAGTCGTCATTCTTAAGAGGTCTTTTAGAAATGGAAATAAAACAGGGAAGTGTACAAAGAGATCATTTCAGTGCCATATTATAGATGGTTAAGCTAAATTGAGTTGATCTCTTTACTCTGAATCTTTTGGTTTTGCATTTCTGTAAATAAGCTTTCTAACAAAATACCTTTTTTTTTTTTTTTTTTTTTTCCTATGAACTTACATTTTTATGTATTTGTTTTCCCTCCTCTTTACAGCTTCCGGTAAAATTTGTGTAGAATGTTTATAGGGTCTTTTTGTGTTTTATTAAAGTGTATTTTTTTGCAAAATTACCCAGACCCTTAAGTGAAGGGTTAGATATTATCAACCTGATTTATAAAATTTCTGACTTATGAAAATTTCTGGTTTATGAATCTAAATAAACACTAGCTTCTCTTGAGGGGAAAACTCATTTACTTAAACATTGAATGAATCACTTGCAATTGCTAATTTATAACAGGTTGTAAATACTCTGAGGATGTTCTTCCTGACCAGCTGTTGGCAACTGGCAAATGGACGTGTTTGTGTTATGCGTTGTGAAAATCTGTCGTGTTGCAGAGCTAGGAGATGGGTGGTAGAATGTTGCTGCGTGTTGGAGTATATTAGGAGTGCAAAGTTGCATGACAGCCAGCTATTTTTAAATGACTAGCTAGTAGAGGAAGCATCTTGGAAAGTTTTTAAAGAGCTGCAGATGGTATGTTTACTGATGCTTCAGACTGAGTCTTACCTCACCTAACTACATCTGGAGAATTTAGCAAAAGGAATGCAGTGAATTATTTCCTTTTTTAAACAAGCATCTTATGGGAAAGTGATAGGTTGCAGTTGTGGATCCTAATATCGGTGGGATTTTTTTGTGAGGTTTACCTCCATGCTTAGTTCCTGAGAATTACTTGAAGATTGAACTGCACAGGTTTTATAAGGATTTAAAAATGTCATGGTTCCTGTCGATCTGGTTTGAGTTAGTTATGGAAGAAGGTAGAGTACATGTTACTCCCCAAGCTCCACACATTTAGAAGAATATCCTGTCAGATCATGTAAAAGGAAAACAAGAAAATTGCTATACAAGTTATTATGCTGATGTGAATGATCTCTTTCTTCAATTGCTTTCAGCATTCAATTCTTGGGTCAAAATTGTTTTTCCCAGAATGATCCTGGGAAACTTTCTGCAAGTGTAGAGTTTACAGCAGGCATTGATATCCGAGTGTGTCATAATGAGCCTCAGGACTTGGCATTTTGACCAGAAAGTCACGAATACAGAATACAGGAACATCTCTTTGTACTGGCCTCATGGGTAGATGATCCAAAAATGTTATGTGCCAACTGGAATCAGAAAGCTGTTACCTGTCAGATTAGAATTTCAGTATGGAAGTGAAGCAGAACAACACGTACAGTGGATGACATGTTGAAATCATTTTCTGTTAATAGCCAGATGATGCTCCTGATCTCGTGCAGAAGGAATGGGCTAGATATGGCTCTGATGCTTTAATAAAAAACTAAATAGCAATGTTTTCAGTGCACCAGTAGGCTATCAAAAGTGTGAGAATTGTAGGACGAGCAGCATGAGTCCAGTTTTGCCACTAACTTCTCCTGTTGAGCCTTTTTTATTCCAAGAAAATCAGAGATCTTTGTAAACTATCTCTTTTTGAGACAAAACAAAATTTTTGCTTGTTCTGAGAAGGTGATCATAGTGGATAACCATCTGAAAGCCTGAAGATTCAGAAAATGTCTTTGCAGTGCCCTTAAGGTGTGTAACAGAGAAGATGCAACCTTTGTCACTTACAAAAATACAAAAGATGACTTTGTTTTATGCTATTAACTAAAAATAATTTGCCTGATCTCCTCTATAATAGCTACAGAATGACAAGCACTCCTAATTTTTAGCTGCTACAGATGAAATAAGTATGAGGCAGTAAGTTTGCAGTAAGTATAGGTGCCTGACTTTCTGCATCTTTCAGAATGAAATGCAATACTTGGATGGTGCCATTTGCTGAAGCAGGCTGTTGATGTCATTATGAACCCATTAGCAACATCTTAGCGATCTTGGCTTACCCAAACCACCTGTAGTGCACTGACCCTCTCACGCTTTTTGGGTTTAAAAACCAAAGCTACTTTTTGGCTTTTGTTCCTCTTTGTGCGTGTATAAGTGTGGTCCCTGAAGTGTCAAATATACCAGTTTCAATGCAGTTTTGTATTTCTTAGTGACATCTTGGGACTATTAAAAATGATCAGGAGAGTGTCTGAATTGTTAGCGCTGAGTATGTATGTAATGTTACAGAAGCATTTTGGTCTCATGTGCCCTTTCATAAAGCTAGTGACAATGTAATGAAAGACAGTCATATTCATATGCATTTCTTTATCATAAAAAGAAACTCAACTAATCGTTCATACATATTCTGAAAACGCTATTTTTTTCAGTCATCTGCCGCATTAGAATTCGTGTTCATACTAGTGGAAAAGCAGTATACTTTTCCATTTTAACCTGCCTATCACTAGTTTAGTGCAACTTTAGCTTTTATTCTTGGCAGCTGTTATTCTTGATAATCCATACAATAGCATTTTTTCCTATATACTTCCAGCATAATTTCTGTCAAAAGCAAAAAATCAAAGCAAAAGCAAAAAGATTTGTGGTGGACTGCATGGTACTTTAGTGCAAGTGGCAGACATTCCTGAGCATAACATTTTTAATTGGAGCGAAGTTATTTGCGGTTCTACTGGAAAAAGTTCTGAACCATCTATTCACTGAATTATGTTGGTGAGATTTAGACAACTGAAAAGAAAGCTATAAATGCAAAATGTGATTTGAAAGGCAAAAGTTCTACGAGTTTTGGTCTATGTTTCTTCCAGTTCCCAATTAATGAACAAGTATGACATATCAGAATTAGGACCTTATGAGCATCTTGTCAAAAAGAAGAATTTCAATAAGGTATTTTCAATGTTTATGAGCCAAAAGCAACAGTAATCTTTTTACAAGGCATACATTAGGTTTTATGCTCTGAAATTTACCCTAATAGAGTAACTTAGGAACTTAGATACTTCAGTATCTTTGGGTCCTTTAATCTCCCAGGTATGGGGCCACTTCGAGTCAGAGAAATTAAAGTAAGAGTTATTTAAAATCAGAAAGAAAGATTTTTCCCTATATACACTCACCTAATGCTTGTAAGTTTTTATATAGCTTGAAACAAAGATAGGCATAAGCAGTCATGATTAATATTCAAATGGTACTTTATGGTGGTAACAAGCAGCAATAACATGAACTGTTTTGAAGCCGGTTGTTTAGGCAGGTTTATCAAGGTTCTGTGTTCCAGCATGTCAGCAGTGGTGGAGTAGGGTTGAGTGGGACGCTTGGTGCAAATGCCATGTCTCTTGAATTTTCAGTGAACTACTCACAGTACACGTACTCAAAAGAGATAAAAATGACAATAAGAAATGGCTTTCTTGGTCTCAAATCACCTAATGAAGATTCAAGTTATGAAAGCTTAGCTGTAACCGTTCCTGTGGCTCTGATATCCTACG